TAAAGCTATGTATAAGGTAGCTGTTAGTGTGATCTAGGCTAACTGATGTGTTACACTGTTAGTTGACACAATTAATTAAATAGTTAGTCTAGCTACTATCACACAAGGATTAGTTATTAATAGTTAATATTTTAATTATAAATTTAATGCCTATCCGGTTCGATAAGGACCATAATGTGGGATATTTGGGCTTGATTCTGTTTAATTAATAATTAATGTAGTAAATTAAATTACGAAGGACCACCCGCTTTTAAAGTAAAGAGGGAAACTGAGAATTTCAGATCATTAGATAAAATTCTAGAGAAAACCAGTGACTATGGATATGACTAGAAAGTATGATCATAAGAATAATTAATGGGCTGTATTATTAAAACCAAACCTCAAACACCTACATTGGGGGGTTATTACTGGAGGTCAGTACGTCCAGGAATCAGTGTGGTTCGTTCACTAATTCTATTAATAATAATCTAATCCTATAATTAATGTTGAATATAATATTATTCATACAAAGAAGAACATGAATATGAGCATAATAATGAATTACAGTAAATCACACATTATGTTGAAAACATTCTGAATGTATCAAATTGCAATGTTATGAATAAAAGAAATAAGCCTTAGCTGGTAATAGATTCCTTTAGATAACCCTGGCAGTCCTCTTAATCTCCAAGTCTGGTACACCGACGTCTGACACGGTTAACATGGAGAAGACAGCATGAGGAATTCGTCTCTCGAGCTGCAAAATAAATAACTACCAGTAGCAATTGATTTAACTACTCAATACATATTCAAGATTATTGATATCTACAGAGAAATTTCTAATCACCTGTTATTAGGTGTTGTCGTGCCGCGTGACGCGCAATCACCCCGCTATTATTAAACCTGTAAATGATGCATCAAATAAAAGGTACTTAGCTGTGGGCACTGTGTAAGTATTAAGATTGCCGTAATTTCGCATCCCAGGCTCCGGTGAACCTATCCTGGATTGATGCGTTTCAAGCTGGCTGATCACGTGTCGTCAGGAACCAAGTCTAGGGGTCCCTTATTTAACACCAGCACTAGTTGAAGATATTATCTGCAAGGTCGTTCACGCCTCACAGTGGCGGCTTTCATCTGTGGATAGACACACGTGTCCTATTTGCTGGACAATGGCGTCTTTTGTGAGTACGGTAAGCGTGGTTTTGCCTCCTTCTGGCTTTGCACGTGTCCGCTTCCCGACACCGTCACCGACTGAGCATGGCGTCGCGTCCCTCCCCCCACGCCGAGTCGACGTTCATTACACAAATTATTGGCATGAACATTAATATTTCTCGCATTCGCGCTTGAAACTCTAAAGACTGGACGGGTTTATTATTTAGAGGAACGAAATATTATTATTTAACTATTTAAGAATAGTAAAGATACAAGGGAGAGGAATTAATGTCTCCCCATAGCATTCATTGATGACGTTAACACTATCGCGAGGTAGACGGTATAATTCTAACGCTCTATTCGGCTTTTAGTTAGAGAACAATTCGTCTGCAATCAGTTGTCATACAGAATGCTTTAATTATGGAGAATCGTATTTAATTCTCACACAAATTGTATATAATGTGTTTTACTGTAAAGAAATCTGACGCAATACTGGCGTCAGATGACGTGAGAATTCTAGCCTAATGCACAGATGAATTATTAGTACAGGAGAATTCTACGAGTTGTTAATTTTACTTACTACAATATTAATATGATTAGTAATAAGTAATGAGAATACAACAATGTTGTATTCGATGTTGGAAATATCCAACAAATGCAGTCCGCCCAGCCCTCTCTTTCTTGCTTAATCTGTGTCACCTGATCGTAGAATTCTATCAAGCCTGTAAGGCAAGATTTACCCTCCCTGAATCCATGTTGGCGATTTGTCACGAAGTCCCTTCTCTCCAGATGTGTTACCAGGTTTTTTCTCACGATCTTCTCCATCACCTTGCATGGTATACAAGTCAAGGACACTGGCCTGTAGTTCAGTGCCTCTTGTCTGTCGCCCTTTTTGTATATTGGGACCACATTCGCCGTCTTCCATATTTCTGGTAGGTCTCCCGTCTCTAGTGACTTACTATACACTATGGAGAGTGGCAAGCAAAGTGCCTCTGCACACTCTTTCAGTACCCATGGTGAGATCCCATCTGGACCAACCGCCTTTCTAACATCCAGATCCAGCAGGTGTCTCTTGACCTCCTCTCTCGTAATTTCGAACTCCTCCAAGGCCGCCTGGTTTACCTCCCTTTCTCCTAGCACAGTGACCTCACCCTGTTCTATTGTGAAGACCTCCTGGAACCTCTTGTTGAGTTCCTCACACACCTCTCTGTCATTCTCTGTATACCTGTCCTCGCCTGTTCTAAGTTTTAATACCTGTTCTTTCACTGTTGTTTTCCTTCTGATGTGACTGTGGAGTAGCTTTGGTTCGGTCTTGGCTTTGTTTGCTATATCATTTTCAAAATTTTTCTCTGCTTCTCTTCTCACCCTGACGTACTCATTCCTGGTTCTCTGGTATCTCTCCCTGCTTTCTGGTGTTCTGTTATTCCGGAAGTTCCTCAACGCCTTTTTGTTTAGTTTTTTCGCTTCCATACATGCCCTATTATACCATGGATTCTTCTGTTGCTTCTCGGATTTTTCCCTTTTGCCCGGGATGAACCTGTTTACTGCCTCCTGACACTTTTGGGTAACATAGTCCATCATACCCTGTACAGACTTGTCTCTGAGGTCTGTGTCCCAAGGTATTTCACTTAGGAAACTTCTCATCTGTTCATAATTCCCCTTTCGGTATGCCAGCCTTTTGATTCCTAGTTCTTTTTGGGGGGAGATAAGTCCTAGTTCTACCAGGTACTCAAAGTTCAATACACTGTGGTCACTCATTCCCAAGGGCGCTTCCATCTTAACTTCCCTTATATCCCATTCATTTAGGGTAAATATCAAATCAAGCATTGCTGGTTCATCTTCTCCTCTCATTCTTGTTGGCTCTGTGGTATGCTGGCTTAGAAAGTTTCTTGTTGCCACGTCCAGCAGCTTAGCTCTCCATGTTTCTGGTCCTCCATGCTCCTCTGTTTCTGGTCCTCTGTTCTTCCAATCTATCTTCCCATGGTTGAAGTCTCCCATAATTAGTAGTCCAGATCCATTCCTGCTAGCAACAGAAGCTGCTCTTTCTATTATGTTAATGGTGGCCATGTTGTTTCTATCATATTCCTGTCTAGGTCTTCTGTCATTTGGTGGTGGATTATATATGACTGCGACTATAATTTTTTTCCCTCCATTTGTTACAGTACCTGCTATGTAGTCACTGAAACCTTCACAGCCCTGAATATCCATCTCCTCAAAATCCCAGCCTTTTCTTACCAGCAGAGCTACACCACCCCCACCTCTTCCTTCCCTCTCTTTCCGCATAACATAATAGTCCTGTGGGAACACTGCATTTGTTATTGTTTTCGTGATCTTTGTTTCTGTGAGGGCTATTATGTCTGGGTTTTCCTCTAGTACCAGTTCTCCAAGCTCATTTGCTTTATTTGTAATTCCATCTATGTTAGTGTACATCGCTTTGAGGCTCACTTTCTTCTGTCCCTTCTCAAATCGCCTCCTTGGTGAGTGTTCTGCTGGTGGGGGAGGCTGTTCCATGGGTGTGAGGACCTGTGAGGTGGGTAACAGGATCTCAGAGGATACTGGAATGAGGGGCGGGGGATCCAGTGAAGGGGAAGGGACAGGGAGGGTATGGGGTGTGTGTGTGTGTGTGTGTATGTGTATGTGTATGTATGTGTGGATGGATGAATGGCGTCAGAGATGGCGTGAATCTTGTAGGTAACCATCGGCCAGCAGTTAAACAAGCAGTTAGTGAGTGGCGACTGGGCCCCTGCCCAGACAGCAGGTGTCCAGGTGTCTTGGGTACTATGAGGTGGAGATAGGAGGGGTTCTGTCTAGACATTCAATACACTTGAGCACGTATTGTTGTTGTCGTTACAGTTGAAGCATGCAGATACATTGGTGAATAGGCGGTAGAGGGAACAGGCAGGATATACTGCCTAAGCAGGAGATTACGTAACAGTATAAAAAATATTGTATCCGAGATTTGTCATGTCCTGTTTTGTTTTGAAGAGGGTTCGATTCTTATGCCTTCAGGGAATTGTTGTACTGTATTTGAGGCGACTAGGGGTTAGAATGATTGTAATCAACACATGGAGTTATTATTTATATTTTCTTATGTATGTGGTTGTCATGTTAAGATATTCAGTTATCATAGTGATGTATTCATTGATTTTTAAATCAGTTGTTGTTGTTTACTGTACTTGTATTTCTATTTTAAGGTATATTTGATGATTTCTTGAGTTTGGCAAGTATTTATCATGGATGTTCATACTTTTCCTGCTTTAAATAATATGTGAGTTTTATGGCAAGGGATTTTCTTGTTCTAAAGATAGCGGGGCATTATTTTCCACGCGATAAATGACTTTTGTCAGCTTTTCATACATTTGATAATTTTCCAAAGTAATTTCAAATACCTGTAATTATACATGAAGTAGTCTTTTATTTGCCATCTGGAGAAGAATAATTCAATAAATTAATTTTTTTGGGGGGGGCTATTTGTCCCATTTATTATTCTACATTTATGCATCTTTATAATTGTTGGGAATTTTTTATTATGGTATTTAAATGTGCTCAAATTATATTTTCTAGTATGAGGACTGTATACATATTTAAACAAATATTGAAAATTAATATTCTCTAAGTACTAATCTGATGATCTGACAAGTCTGGTTCTTATTAGTTTAGATTATTGGCAAACCTCTACCATATATATTATATATTATGCAGAACAGTAGTTACTTGAGCCATTTTGTTCAGGGATTTTCCCGAACATTGCATAATAGATTATGTAAAATATTACTATTGTCTTATTGTAACCTTGTATGTTTATGTATCAAGCATGTTAGAATTTGAAGTACAGTATTCAGAAGACTCAATTCTTGTTAATTTCCCAGAGGTAAATCAGGACAAGACTGGTCGAGCTTATCAGCATACACCCCTGGGCAGCTTGCTCTCCTTGTCATGCCTTCCTAAACATGTAGCTGCACAGTACGAGTTCTTTGAGAAGCCGTCATCACAGCCAGGCCAGGTGCACAAGGACACAGAGAACAGCATATGGCTGGCCCAGAATAATATAAATTCAAGGGTTTACAAAATCTTCTACATGTTGCTTAAGGTTTGTAGGAAAATATTTAGATTTTTCTAGGCTGAAGTAAAGATAATGAGAAGCTTTATATTATTTTTCTTTTGATGGATAATTACTTGCAATACGGGTAATGTACCAAGTAATACTTGCAAAAGTTCAATAATTGTGAAATTTCATTTTTGCCAAATGCATCGGTGCTCAAGACACTAATTTCAATGTTTCCTTAAATTGTATATGGTTGTAACAGATATGAAACTGAATTTCAGAAAATGTGATTGGATTTCAACCATGTTTCATACAAAGCAACGCACCAAAATAATTATGGGTAGATATTTGTAAGAGCTAATGTGTGGCATTGTAATTTTTAGAGTAAGTTTCGGAAAATTTTATAGATATTTATAGAATAGATGTTGCTTTCTAGGGGAATAGATAATTATTATTGTTTTTAATTGCAGGTATCACCAGAGGCCAAGGCGGGGTTGTTAACCTGGGTAGAATCATGCCTTGCAGCAAACAGTGGGCGTGCTGGCTTGTGGCATGTTCAGGGAGGAGGAGGATTACAGCTGGCCACGTTTGTGTCTGACGGATTTATGATTAATCTTGGTGCAGTGATGTTACAGCTGGCACAGCCATTTACACAAGATCTTAAGACTGCCAAAATACTTAAGGTCATTATAATTGTATTGTTTAAAATGTTTGAGGAATATGCTTTCATGGACTTTAAAAGTTTGGTATTTAGTGTTAAGATACATATACATAGAGTACTGGTATGTGATGGTATGATACACATCATTTATGGTGTTCATCATAATTCATGGTAATTCCGTTTAAGACTGCTTATATGTGCTTGTATAATTGATCATTGCAGGTTGACCCCACATATTGTGCAGCTCCACGAGTGGGAGGCAACAATGGAGTGCCTGGAGCATACACAGGAGACCTCGGGAAACAGACCACACTGGTCCCTCGTCCAGATAATTCACCTCGCTCTTATACCAAGCAGTATTCCTTCATCAGTGCCTGCTTTTTTATGACTCACCGAGCTCTACATCTTGGCATACAGGTCACTCATTTCTCTTAATAAATAAACATTTTGAATACAGTTGTGTTAAGTTTCTAGATCATAGCACTTGTGTCTGAGAGACATGTACTAAGTAGGATATACATCAAGATTCCTGTACAACTATAAAGAGCACATGCTACCTTAGGTGTGATATTTGATTCTGCTATCAACCATTGGCAGCATTTACTGGGTGCATGGAACTGTTTACATTAGAGGACCTGATCAGTCATTACATGATTTGGAAACATTTCTCCAGGCATGTGGACTTGGGAATCATATTCTAGTTTTGTTTTTTTTTGAGTTGACCAACATATATAGTTTTACCACATCCAGAGGGTTAAGTAGCAGGTTAGTTGGCACAGGGTAAAAAGTACTATACTTGCAAGAAGTTTGGGATATGACTTCTTTAAAACAATTCTTAAAAGTCCATGTATATCCACTCTCACAATAAAACACCTACTTTAACCTGGTGTGTATGGATACCCATGGTAAACTTCCGGCTTGTCCAATAACCCTCACTAAATTGAGTAAAGAAAAACAAATCTGCCTTTTTCTTGACACTTGTTAAAAGTATGTACTGTAAATAACTGTTGTTCGAGAACACACTGTAAACTTAAAGCTGAATTTTAGCTATTTTCTGAACTTTCTTGGTTGTTGCCTTCCCATTACACAGGGAAGGCAACATCTCAATACTATTTAATATAAATTCAAACTATGGATGTTATATGAAGTTTAATTTGGAACTATTTAAATAGCTTCTACTATACAACTAAAATAATATATCAAACATTCATATGGCTAAAGCTCAAGTATAGTAGAAGTTGATACATATCAAGTAATGTAAACACTGAATCTTACCATTCAGCTTCTATATTTGACATACTTAAGTTTCATGCTTATATTTTATTTTATTTTATTTTTTTTTTATTTTATTTTATTTATATATACAAGTTCTTACATTCTTGTAAAGCCACTAGTTCGCATAGCATTTTGGGCATGTCCTTAATCATAATTTTTCCCCAGAATATGACCCGCTAAATCGTTTAACAACTAGGTACCCATTCACTGCTGAGTGAACAGAGGCTACATTTAAGGATTGGTGCCCAGTCAATCCTCCCCCAGCCAGGATTTAAATCCAGGCAAAAAAAGCCCTTTAAGCACCGGACAAATGTTTTACCACTGCACCACAGAGACTTAGGCACAGTATATAATGCTGATATTAGTATATAATGCTAATATCAGAAGGCTGGGTGCTAGAGATACTCTGGGGTCACCAGTGTCCTGTAGATGATTCAACTGCAGACTGAGATTGTCTAAGCTCTCTTATAACTCCCTAATAGGTAGGACTGTAAACACACTATGATCAGTAGCATATATATTTGCTATAATGGTTACAGTGATTGATGTATTATAATGGTGTCATGACAAGGTGAGTCGTAATGTGGGACTGGAGAGTGCTGATGGCGGCTACATCAGGTTGTGGTTGGCAGCACTAAGTTAAATCTGCATGGTCAAATGGCTAGATTGAGGCTGGTCAGAGGTTGTGTTCCTTCTGACTCAGCTGCCATGAGGATGATTTAGATTTGTGCTCCTGCGGCCTTATGTGTCAGTCTTCTAGCTTCTCACACTAACAGCTTCTTGATTAATTGAGGGTAGCGTCAGGATGTAGCAGTACTAGTACTTGATAACCGCTCTGGTATCACTGCTACAGTATTCTGATGTAGTTACTGCATTATATAATGAGCAAAGATTGTCAAATTACAGGATAGGTTCTTGAGCATTGTTGAACTTCAAGAACACTAGTTATTAAACACAAAAATTTATTTATAAAGTTACAACTTGAAAATGCCTTATATTTTCTTGGCAGGTGGTTCAGCAGAAACTTCACAAGTTGTCTCAGGAGCTGGGACGCATGCAACGTGAATTTCAAGATGCCTCTGCTCAAGGGTCACCAGCTACAGAGATGATGCGTTCGCACATGGAGTCACGCACCACTAGTCTTCTCTCCTTCAAAGCTGCTGTCTTTGAACCTCACATGGCTGAAAGCCTATTGCATTTTCTGGCAGCATCTGCTGAATGGCTGGTACAAATGGCTCTTTGCCCTCCCAATCAACTCAGTCCTCCAACTACTCTACATGAAGTTAAAGTGCCACTTCCTGAAGACACAGATGCACACATTTTTCTGCAATGTATTCCTGAATTCCTAGTAGAGACACTTACAGAGACCATCAGTGCTGTTCGGAGATACAGCGCTGGGCTTTTGGACTCGACGGGAGGCAGTCTAATATTGCCCCACCTTATGTCTTTCATAGTTGTATTCATGGGTTCTCCAAAACGCATGAATAATCCCCACCTTCGTGCCCACCTTGCAGAATGCTTAGAAACTCTCCTTCCAGAGAGTAGCAGTTCTAGTGGAGGATTTCTTTCAGGTTACCGAGAGCAGCTATTTACTAAGCATCCTGCATCGCCACAGCTTGTTCCAGCTCTTCTTCATGTGTTTGTCAGCATTGAAATGACTGGCCAGAGTGTTTCCTTTGAAGATAAGTTCAACTACAGAAGACCTATGTAAGTGTTGTTCTAATATTGTTAGCTAACATATTTATCCATATGTGAAGTAAGAAGAAACTTTGTGTTAATCTCTAAGAGATGAAAACAATTATTTTGCTTTCCTCTACTAACATTCAGTAGTATAGATAAGAAGATTCACACACTTGTTTCATAGAGGCCTGATATATTTTACAAGGGGAAGAGTGGTGCAACATATTAAGGAAATGGTGGAGAAGGTATCCGAGAGCTTAAAGAGAGTGAAAGGTTCATGTGGTCAAAGAGCCTTAACACATTTGCCTCCTGGTGGGGAGCTAAAGTATGCAGGTATAAAAGTAAAGGTACCACACAGCTTGATTATGGTCCAGGACCAACTGAAACTTCGTTTCTTCACTTTATGATGTAGTCATCATATCTCGAGCCATGTTATTGTGACTCATAGTCTGCATATAGAAGTACTAAAATCTTGGGTTATAAATAATTACATTTATACAGTAATCATTTGACTTTGTATTGTCTGTCATCTATTTTTAAGAACATTATTAATGACATTTCCAATATTGCTTGTGATTGTATTCATTTTAACTTTATATTTCAATACTTTCCTCTTTACTGTCATTGTTGGAAAATGGGAACTTTAACTCAAATATACTGTCATAATATTTAATTAAGAAATCGATAAACTCGAAGGACCACCCACTTTTGAGAAAAGAGGGAAAACAAATAAAGGGAATCATGAAGCTGACACTGAAATACCAGTGTCTATGGATGATAAAATATTTGGAAATTATTTTGAAAGGCATGAATGGACTGTGATAATGATTAATTGAGAATTAAAATCCTCACTTTAACATTTGGGGGGTATTACTAGAAATAAATATATATCTAGGATAATGACTGGTGCTGGTTCATCACAAGTTGGTTAATTACAACATTAAAAGATTATAGAATTAGAAATTAAATGTAGATTCAAATATGATGATAATATAGTCAAATAATCATGCCTATGAAATATTAATAAATCATAGAAATTTGTGTGTGAAAATTGCAACACACTAAGCAATCAATGTATTAAATTTATGTAGTTTCTCTTGGATTATAATATGCATAAAAAAGGCAGAATACATATATCAGAAATAATATTAGAATTAATCATAGCAACTCTATTATCTACGATATAACGAATGGAGGGGCTTAGCTGTAGGAAGACTTCAATGAACCCGTTTCGGAATTCGAATACTCGTAGACATGATCACATCACCCAAGTAGTGGATGAAACACCGACAGGGGAAATCGCATGTATAGGAAGAATTTCTCTGCTTGTCCTCACCAACATGCTACAATCACAGAAATTTTATAGAAATTGACTAGGCTAGAGATTTATTCCACTATTCACTGAGAAATCAGGAACAGCATGAAAAGAAACTAACGTGGGTTTTGTGGTCGGTAAATGACATAACGGTGAGCAACCTACAGTAATAATTTATGATAAAGTGCACTCTATATAAAAAATACTTAACGTAGGCCTGTTGAAACATTTAAGCTCGCCGATATCACGTCTGTTAGTCCCTGACGTTCACTGCTGTTGAAGGTCTAATTTCAAGACGTAATTGTATTCTCAGACGTGAGAATTAAGTGTTATTAGCACTGTTCAACCATGTGTTCTATCTGCAATGGCTGCCGCTTGCAAATCTGCATGTGCTCGTGGCAGTGGTGTGGCAGAAAGAAGCTTCCTCTCTTCTTCCTGCTCGAACACGCATGCGCAGAGATGCTCATAGCGATCTCGAGCTTAAACTAATTTGATTTACTAGTAATTAGAGAAATAAGGAAGTACGACTTAAATTAACGTCACAAATAAATATATTGAATCACAATGTCTCTTCTCGCGAGGCAATTGATTTAATTAACACTGCACAACTTAAGTGAGAAGGGTCGACGTGTATTTAATTTTACGTCATAGTAATATTTACTGTAATAATTAATTTGGTTAAATGGTAGAGTTCGGTACGCATAAGAATGCAAAACTGTTATTTCTTCCATAATGAACAATATTTTAGAAAGAAAGGACTATTAACTGAACTCTATAAATTTCCAACAAACGTGGAAGACTTCATGTTTCAGTCTGCTATCGACGCTCGGCGTCATGAGGGCTGGTAAACTTCTGGCAAAATACGCCTTCCTTATAGAAACACCAACGATATTAATTCTATGTGTTAAGTGTTATTAGTAAATACTACGGTTAATACAATGATGATGTATTATAATACAAAAATGATGTACAGTATTAGTGTTGGGAAATTTCCAACAGTCATGTTTGTTCATTATCATTTTTGATCATATGGTCATTATCCATTCATAAGTTTGTCGAGTACAGTATTCACATGACCATTCTAATTTGGTGACTTGAGACCATCTCATCTCATCTTTGTACAACTTTTCACTATAGCATATCCCAATATCTTAGTTGTGAAGTGTTGTACTATATTGGAATCCCAGCATTGTATATGAAGCACTGAGTGTGACCCATGGGTTTTGTTTGGTACATGGCCATTATAATTTTGAAATAGTTTTTTGATATACAGTACTGTATTTCTTAAAATTTCTACCATTTCATGGTCATTATTTTGTTTACTAGGTATGAGGTGATAAAATATTTATGGGACTTGCCAAAACACAGAAAAAGGTTTACAGAATTGGCTGAAGAATCTCTGGCAAACATGGAGTCTGCCAAGCCTCCGTTATTCCTGCGCTTCGTCAACCTCTTGATAAATGATGCCATTTTCTTGTTGGATGAAGGGCTGTCATACATGTCACAACTTCGAGAAACTCAACTAGAGAGGTAGCTACCTGTTCTGTTTGTTGTTGTATAGAAGCCTTGCCTATGATCAAATACTGTCTGTAATGTATGATAATGAGTTTACTGTCTGATATATATTTGTCTTATTTACTAGTATCTGTATCTTATAAGACAATGAGGCCTGTATGTGTTGGGTAATGGTGGCGAGACATGTGTAGGAGCTACCACATAAAGTAATTATTTGTCATGATACATAAGTGAGCTGGGAACACACACACACAATGCCTAATGAAGTCATAAAATGCAACACATTTTTAAACTAAAGAAGTGCAGAAAATAACACATGGTAGAAATTAGTAAGACACATTCAGACTAGTGCTACTACACAAAGAAAAACTACCACACAACTTTAAAAATGTGAGATGAAGTATATTTTAGAAAACAGGAGATAGTCAGAACAGGCAAAGATAGTGATGGGTGATGAGGATAACACAATTTAATATTGCTCTCAATATTGTAATGTGCTTTACTTTAATGTCACAATTAGACTGACGTGCAGTTCTGAATTATGTTTACCCTGAGCCGGTCGGCCGAGAGGACAGCACACTGGACTTGTGATCCTGTGGTCCTGGGTTCAATCCCAGGTGCCGGCGAGAAACATTGGGCAGTTTCTTTCACCCTATACCCCTGTTACCTAGCAGTAAAATAGGTACCTGGGTGTTAGTCAGCTGTCACGGGCTGCTTCCTGGGGGTGGAGGCCTGGTCGAGGACTGGGCCGCGGGGACACTAAAAAGCCCTGAAATCATCTCAAGATAACCTCAAGATAACCCTTTCTCCTTTGGAGCTTGTTGATTCAAACATATTGTAATTTAAAAAGGTAAATTTGTTCATTTTGACTATTGACTAAAGCAAGCTGTCAATTTGCATTTGTGTACTGGTACTTGGTTGTAATAGGTTGATTAGATTACTTCATTCATAAAGCGCCCTGTACCCATCCTGTGAGCAGTGGTGGAAAGCGCCCTAAGGAGCATAATAAGCTCAGGGACTGAGTCCCAGTATTCATGTAGTTGGGTATGCTACAGAATTTTTGAACAAGCTGCAGAGTTTAACATAATTGGCTCAGGCATTAATGCTTGTGTTCGTAGGCTAAGCACATTTGTGATAGTTAAAATTACAGGTATTGTAGTTACAGTGGGTAGCATTTTTTGTGAATAATGTGTATACATTTATTTATTAGTGGAAGTCATTTTGTGTCCGAGCATCAGGCTAGGCAATGTGGAAACCCCTTTTTCTTCTATTCTTCAGAGACAGTGGAGATTGGTTGAATCTTCCTTCTGCACAGCGGGCTGAGAGAGAGGGAAATTTCCAGCACATGTCCCTCTTTGCCCGCTTTAACAACATGCTTGGAGCACACACCATCCACACACTTATCAGACTCACTAAAGAGGTAAAATAAGATTACTCATTTGTTAAATGTTAAAGCCATAATTGACTAGAAATAGTATATATATTGCCATAGACCACTTGTCATTTTTGCCACATAGGAGCGCAAGTTTATCATGTTTATCGGCGCTTACACATGTATTTGTTTACAGAAATGCGAGTTTTTTTTTTTATATAAATAATCCCCCTGGGTATTAACTAGAAAGAGGGGAATTTCTCTACAGAGGGGCTACTATATAAGTAGTAATTAAATATTTATTTGAATAATGAACCCTCATAAATGCAGGCCAGTTTACTGCTGCACTATTTAATTACATATCCATAGTGTGCTGCACTAAAGAATTTGGATGCAGGATAGTTCAATCCTATTTGTACAAACAGCCCAATATTAATGGTTTCACTTTTTTCGTACAATAATTACCTAATTATAATTACCCAATTGTAGTTACAAGATGAGAGCTATGCTTATGGTGTCGCATCTTCCCAATACTCTTTGTAATGTTACTAGTACTTTGAATCTAGTGACAGGTTTTGCGTCCACCACCTACCTCCTCTCATAACTTGTTCCATCCGTCTACCACTCTGCAAAAGAGAAGCCCCCTTTCATGTGTTTGTTAATACAATAAACAGACCCCTGTGGGGGTAGGGCCCCCTTACCCCTGCATAGGTCTGTTTATTGTATTCACAATATTCATGTTGTTCATTGATAAAATTACTCCCAATAAATTGCTGTATTTTTAAGTGACGATCTGCTCTCTACGTCTCTACGTCATGTACCATACTCCGTTACTGGTGTTTATAAATAATTTAATCAATTACAAAGTTAGTATATTTAATTATTAATAGTGCCCTTAATGATAATTTTTATATAAATAGTGATGGGAACATTGTGGGAAATTGTTTCCTTTGGGAATTAACCATTCCCAAAAGGGTGGCCACGTGAAATATTTCCTAGATAAGGTAATTATGAGGAGAAAGTGCTAAGCTAGTATGACTATAGTGCCTATATTCCCTAGATAATCCAAGTACAGTATGTATGAATGTGTGTGTGTGTGTATGTGTTTGTATATATATTGGCTCGTATAAAGGCCTGGGGTTACAGCTATAGATTACGGTTGTAAGACCTGGCTTTATATTGTACAGTATAATGTAATGTTATTGAATTATTAGAATTTACAGTTTTAAACCTATTATCCTTAATTAATTGTCATATAAAAAGGTACATCTGTTGAAGTTTTGAAAAACTAATATTTTTGGGAAAATAACAAAATTAAAGATTTTATTGTTTGCACATTTTAAGGGTAAGTTGTTTTTCTCCTTTAAACAAAATCTTACCATATGTTCTTGTCTCAGTGCTGGTTAAGAGTTTTGGATAAAAAAAATATAACATTCTAATAATTCAGTATTTATCCTTATTACATGCTTTAATGGGTACTGTATTGCAGTGGGTGTTATGGTTTATCATTATTGAGGAAGGAAGCCAGGCTTAGGGGAACTGGGGAATAGACTCTAATCCTGGTCGACGACCGGGCCGTGGGGACGCTAGGCCCCGGAAACACCTCAAGGTAACCTCAAGGAGGTTTGTTACCCTAGAGATCTAGAAGGAAGCAAACTCCTTGGTTCTCTTTGCTAGAATGAGCAGGCAAGTATGCAGGGAGTTCATATTAAACAATAATTAGATGCATAGTTTAAAAAGAAATTCACTAAAGTAATACAGTGTCATGTTAGAAAGTGGGAGTCCACTGTAGTACTAACCTTTTCATTGCTTTCCTTAGGGAAAACAAGGAAAATATCAGCTTTTTCCTTGGAGTGTAATAAGAGGAGTCATGGGTCATATTATATAGAAGTTAGTTGTGGAAATATCCAATTGGCCATAGCTCTGGAAAAATATTTTGCCTAAAGGTGTAAAAGAAAATATATGGTATCTGGCTTTCTGAATATTAAACTGTATTTGATGGCGACCCCATCTGTAGATAATGCACCTATTAATCACAATGCTAAGTGTGTGTTATTTAACAGACCACGTAATATGTTAATCTTGACGGTGCTGTCTCTTGGTAGAGTATTGTACTGCAACTATTACTTGCTAATATCAAATTGATTTTGCCAGATTCCCCAGATGTTTACCCACAATACTCTTGTCGACCGCATGGCTGCCATGCTCAACTACTTCCTCTCTACACTCGTGGGCCCAAAGCAACGCAACCTTAAGGTAATACAGTGTTTATTGACATCTGCTCTTTCGTTTACTGAAATGTTCATGCAAGTAATTTTAGGTTCAATCAAACCTGCCTTCGTTGTACACCTTGTGGAAAAATTTAGTTTGAACTATTTTATATATTGTCACATGTAAATGAATTTGGTGGAAGTAAATGTAAGAACATGTATTGAAATAATAAAAAATGCAAAGCGGATCCTGTAAACGTAGCTTAATTTGGCTGTTTATAAATATCATTATTAGTAGGTAATACGTCTGATCTTCAGGTACGGGATATGGAGAAATATGAGTTCCGTCCTGGTGAGACAGTTTTCGACATATGCACAATATACACTCATCTTTACAAGAGCGCAGGATTTTGTCTTGCCGTGTCAGCTGATGGAAGGTCATACACTCCTCAGCTGTTTTCTCAAGCCCATGCTGTATTATGTGAGTAACTTATGTCATTTGTTTCATAGCTTGCAGGATCAAGCTCTGACTAAATGGTTTTGTATTTGTTTTGCATCTCCAAGTTCTCAGATCAATAAAGAATGGTGTTACCTAAGATATACAAAATATTGTATAGCAAGACCAGGATTTTGGAGGGTACACTGTATATTGTACAATTTGTATTTATTGTAAATTTATTTTAATATTTTTAAGGGCTCAATTATATAAATCAATCTTGTAAACAAAACAAACATATTTTGACGTGCATTCTATTTCATAATGATAAAGGATGTACAGTAATTTCTTTAACAGTACTGTATACAGTAATTTATTTCACTTCTACTAGGCTTCCTACACTATTTTAACTTGACTTTCATTGTCCTTTTTGTTTACCTTCTATTTATTTTACCAAACTTATTTAGGTCGTATTGGGCGTGGAACACTGGCGGAAGAGCTTGAGGTGGTGGCAGAGAAGGTGAAGGAGGCTGGGCAAGCTAATGCTGAGGAAGAAGACATTGCTGCTGATGCCCCAGAGGAGTTCCTTGACCCAATCATGTCACACTTAATGGTTGACCCAGTTATTCTGCCATCATCTAGGGTAAGGAAGTGCAGTGCCACTATGATCATGTTGACACCCAACCCACACATCTGAAAATGAAGAACTGATGACAGTCGGTTCTTCATTTTCAGGGGTGTGGGTTGGGTGTAGACTCGTCAGCCACGTTGTGACTCGTCTGCATATGGTCATGTTGTTGTTAAAATAGTAGTACTGTATGAATATTTTATTTTAGCTTATGAATTCACTTATCCAATTTACCTGCATTCTCACTGTAATTTTCCACTTAATGTACAGTACATATGTTAACAGAGTTATTAATTGGAATGAAGGCAGAGTTATTAATTGGAATGAAGTATGATGTGGTGATGTAATAGTGGATAGTAATACTGTACAGTAATTTGGTTTTCCAAGAAGAGAGAACTCATGATTTTATCATGTTCAGTAATGTCTTCTGACAAGTCTCCTTACAAAACCGTGAACCCATCATTGTACTGGCTTCAAGCACCTGGACATGCTCTGCTGCAAATGGTACAGCTTCCAAAATAGGTACTGTACTTGGAAAGAGACTGCTGGAAGGATTGGAGAATCGCACAAAGCCACGACTGGACTCGGATCTCAACAAGCAAGAGAACAAACAATCTAGGCCATGGAAGGATATGTAGCCATGTACATGAATGCATTCATGCGTACAAATGCCTATCACACCCTTCACAGATTTTGGCAGGCAACTGGTGACGTCAGACATTTTTGAGCATGGTAGGCTCACAGCTTTGAATTTATAGAGGAGTCCTATAGAGTTGCAGCTCCCTTTAACTGTGTGCTGGATAAGCCTAGTGTACTGAAGGATAACAAACCATCTCACCAAGAGATTGGACAATCACTGTACAGACATTGCATACTTAAGTACACAATGCACTTGTAAATAAATAGGAATACTTGTCAAAAAACAATTTTAATTCTAAGCATTTTGCTGTATACCAGTTGAACCAGAAACATTACTAATGGCTGGAAGGGACAGTAAGAGAACAGTTAAATAAACTGTTACAGTATTTAGAATTGTAATGCACTAAGGCACAAAACAAATTATATCCATATATCCTTAGAATGCATTAAAATCAACAATTTACATTTTATATCATGTATCCATACTTTTCAAATAAATATACTATATTACAAGATAATCCCAGAATTTATAATAACTAATTTCTTTCCTTTATAGTTAACATGTGACCGGCAAACCATTGCACGACACCTTCTGTCTGACCAGACAGATCCTTTCAACCGTCAGCCACTCAACATGGAGGAGGTCCGTCCCAACACCGAACTCAAGGAGAGAATAACTGCCTGGTTAATAGAACAGCGTGCATTAAGAGCAAAGAGGTCCGAGACCCAGGTGGAGGAGTTAAAAGATTCACCTTAACCTAGGAATACAGTATAAATTAATTTTCCCTTTTTAACATGTGCATGACTGTTGAAAACCTCTATTAGATATATTAGATAATGTTACCATATATAAAAACTTGTTACCCATTTTTATATCAAAACTGCAAATACAAAAATATAATAGTGTCAACATCAATTTAATGGTGTTGGTGTTTTATTTTTGTTTATTATTCAAAAGTTTATTAAATTGTTTAATATTTTATTAAAGAAATATGTATCTGATATGTTGTGATATTCACTGTAAACATTAGTTGTACAGTCCTCTCTTGATTAGTAAGGAAAAATCTTTAATAAATTTTGTGTTATAACTATCTTTTCTTTAAACCTGCTGTTTAAGAGCGGGTGAGTGAGAGACGAGGAAAAACAGTAGGGAACTGTAATGAGGATTTTAGCTGTGCTATATGATAAGATTCCTGTTAGTCCAGGAACTAAATTACAAAAAATGGATAGGAAAGTCAATTATTTAATAATCATTGAGTTAAATACAGTATGCAAAACTAAAACTATATCAGGGTGAAATGCTAAAAACTATGCTGCCTAATATTTCTTTTAAGCAAGTAATGAGTGTGTTACAATAACAAGCAGGGTGGAGGTTACATATGCATTGTACAGTTATGGTGAATTTTAAACATGGATGGTACTTCTATCTAAAGCAAATTAAGACAGGATTAATAGAATTATATTCGGTGTAAAATAATAATCTGTACAACCTCGATTCAGTTAACAGTATGGGACCAAACCCAATTCGTTGCAACTGAAGATGCCTCCAGGATGCATTTCAAATGCCCTGTGGGCTCATTTCACTTAGCAGATTTTCATTTGAACCTATATAACAGGCAGCTACCATATGAAATTGTATACAAAATAATCACATTAGCTTATTTCTCGTGTCCCCAGCCTCAAAATTCATTTTCAAAAGACAGCAGGGATATACCTGAGTGAACTAAAACCTTGCCAATTCAAAATGAAAACAAACCATAGAATTTGGTTTTAAATAATTTCTAGGTTTCCCAAGGCTCCAAGTGTGTCTTGAAATATTGAGGTCATCTACAAAAAATCATCAAAAACGTGATTGGAGCCTTAACTACAACTAGTACATTTCCCGTGCTAAATCCTTGAAACCTCATTGCTTTCCCAAGGCCTCATAATATTTCTTGAAATGCTGTGCCCATATACAAAAATCATTATAAATGTGACTGGAGTCATATTAAGTTAACTTTTGCACAAAAAAAGATTCTAATGACATCTGGGATGAGCCGAGGGATGCATTTTAAATCCAGGCCTTGTTTTTGGTATCAGCTGCCACCTGACAATGATAACCAAACCAAGGCTAATCAGAAGGCTTGGTCACATACTGCTGGTAAGGAATATACCTGTGTTGGAGTTCCAGGATATGACTGGTTAAAGGTATATGCTTGGTTGCTTACATCCCCCTGGAACAAAACATTCCAATTAGTCCCCCCTTGTTCCAAAGTTAGGTTGTGTAACAGGATTCTCCAGCTTGATCTGCTGGGATAGCCAGTGTAGTGAAGACAGTCTGGTGCTCTGATGAACCAACATATCTCGGAAAATTTAACATTATGAATATCTGGAAAACTGCTTTAAACTCTTCGGATAACAATTCTTCAATTTTGTACTTCGTGAAAATCACGGGGGGTTGTTAAAGGAGTCAACATTTCTGGAATGGGCCATGACCGGCCTATGACACTCCCATACGACCCATGTATCATCTTCAAAAGTTAGGTGAGGCTAGTTCCAAGCGTCTTTTGTTGGGGGACGGGCAGCCTGTGTATGTATTTATTAATTTATATATATACTAGCTGTACCTGGCCACGCTTTGCTGAACCACAGCAACTGTCTCCTGGGGAGGCGAGAGTAATGTTACTGCTGAGAGCACGAAGTGTATTCTTATGACTGGATTGATTGATTGATTGATGAAGATTAAGCCACCCAAAAGGTGGCACGGGCATGAATAGCCTGTAAGTGGTGGCCCTTTTGAGCCATTACCAGTATCAAAAGATGATACTGGAGATCTGTGGAGGCGCAACTGCACCCTGCGTGACGGGAGATGTCTCCCGGACCAAATGGTGACCAAATGGTCTATATGACTGGATGCCGGTGAGTCCCTTATATATGAGCCAATGACATCAGAGATGGCGCGAATTTTGTAGGTAACCATTGGCCGGCAGTTAAACAAGCAGTTTGTGCCTCGTTGACCGGCGTTTGGGCACCTGCCCAGACAGCAGGTGTCCAGGTGTCTCGGGTACTATAAGGTGGAAGGATTAGGGAGTCTGTCTAGACACTCATACGTTTTGAGCACATATTGTTGTTGTCGTTGTTGTTGATTCCTTATGTTGGAGCATGTAGATTAGTTGGTGAATAGGTGGTAAAGGGAACAGGCAGGATCTACTTCCTAAGCAGGGGATTAGGAATATATATATATATATATATATATATATATATATATATATATATATATATATATATATATATATATATATATATATATATATATATATATATATATATATATATATATATATATATCAGATTCAGATGTTTATTCAGGTAAGGTATATACATACAAGTGATGTTAAATTAATGGATTGATATATATATATATATATATATATATATATATATATATATATATATATATATATATATATATATGTGTGTGTATATCACGAAAATAAACACGTGATTAAGAATGTGACAATGTCAGACCACGGAGGAAAAATGAAACAGGAAATTTCCTTAAGTACTTTCGTATATTAAATACATCTTCAGAAGGTCACCTTCTGAAGACCTTCTGAAGATGTATTTAATATACGAAAGTACTTAAGGAAATTTCCTGTTTCATTTTTCCTCCGTGGTCTGACATTGTCATATATATATATATATATATATATATATATATATATATATATATATATATATATATATATATATATATATATATATATATATATATATATATATATACAAGTAACATTCTTTCCATCCTATTGGAGGAAGCTGAGGTGTAGTCCAATAATATAAGCAGTCAAGAAGCGAGTAATCATCAATATAATTTACACAGTGATTCAGTTAACTTCAGTACAGACGCTTCGGAAGTTACCACACTTCTTCAACCTCAAGAATGTAGCACTCGGCGTATGCAGTTCTAGTCGACTTCAAGAGGCTCCAGCTTCGACACAGAGCAGACAGCAAACTACGACCGCATCGAGCTACCATGCTTATCGAGTTTAGATACTCACTACCTCATCGAGTTCAGACACTCACCATTCCCCATTGAGCCGCCATGCTCCCATCGAGCTCCGCGACTCTGGCCTCACTCGGCTCTGCTTCAAGCTCCATCTCAACGTCTACGACTCTGCTGTATCCAAGACTACTAAATAAATATGAGAAACTCACTAAACACCGTGTATCTAATCCACCCAACAACGTAACATAATCATACGTTACACAACCATGATATACGATGATGGCAGCGATTACAACGGTGAAGTTATAGGGCTTAGGCACATTTTGGGGGAGTGGGTAGCACACATTACAGGTCGAGTGTGAAGCACTAAGTAGAAAACAATGAGGATGAAATTAGGTACTTTTTGGTGTTACTTTTGAATAAGGAAAGATTTGATTTACGTTAGGTTAGTGTCGAGGTCCCCCAGGATACAACCCACAACAGTTGACAAACTTCTGGGTACCTATTTGCTGCCTAGGCGAACAGTCGCATTAGGTGAAAGGAAACGTCCCCAACCAATTCCAAAGATTCGAACTCCGGACTCTCGAGAACGAACTCAATCGTGAGATATAATTCATATATGTTAAATCTATATCTTCTGATTTGTGGTTTGGTCATCATATCTTCAGCCACGTTTACCTGAGTTTACCTGAGAGCCACTAACACTAGTGGCCTCAACGAGGACAGGAAGACGGCGGCTTGTCGAAGGTCCCCCCATATGCCTTAAACGTTATTGTAAGTCATCGTCTGCATAAGTCTAATTGAATTTATTTATATTCAGATAGTTAGTAAACGTGCGATCACCGAACACAGAGTAATTATTAATGGTAATCCACCAATCTACCAGCATATATACACAACAATTACAGCAAACAAGCAATTTGACTTACGCCGGCCTGAAGGGACCATTGATATCTAACTGAATTTACATTAAACAAAAATTAAAAAAAAAAACCCACGCATGACTGGCGGGTACAAAGTGTAATTATTTCAGAGAGTAAGAGCGTGTGAGAGGAGTTAATAAAAGGGTTATAATGGAGGTATATATATATAATGGAGGTATGTAAACGCTGCCCGAAACGCTTTGCGTAATAGTGGCTTTAGGTATTGTATGTACTAGCTCTATCTATAAATCCATCAACTTTTGTATCTCTCCTTGTATGTATGTACTTTACCTAAATAAATATTTGTATTTTGTATTTTGTAAAGGAGTGCAGGCGAGGCGGGGCAGGTGGCGCTGCGAGCGGCGGCGGTGGTAAACACTCTCGCCAAGATGGTCCTCGAGAGCACCATCATCTGGTCAGTTCCTTTTCTCTCCGTTTTTACCACTGTTTCTCTCCGGCCCTTTTCCTTGACCCCCGGGAGGGGTGCGAGGTGCCGGCCGGGTGCCAGGGAGGGGCCAGAGCGGGCCAGGTGGAGGGATATAAGGGCGTGATGGCGGGCGGAGAGGACAGACCTGGTCGTGACGGAGCACATTTGAACTCTTAGACCTGTGTCATCGTCGGGGTTTTGGCTCTTATGATATCTCTTTTTGGGGTTATGTTGCCCACGGTGTTGTATTTCACGAAGATAGCAGGTCTAAGTTCATTAAGAATTATATATTGTGTTGTATGATGAATTAATATATTCGTGCCTAGCTGCTGTAGGCCCAGGTGATTGTCATTATAGGCCTATTAAATTATGCCTGATTTCCGTATATAATCTGACTGATATATAGCTCGCCTTGTAACTTGTCTAGACTTTTAATTATTAAATATATTGTATTCCTAGAACAGTAGTTACATAGCATGTTTATGTATTTTAGAGTTAATATCATTTGCTGTAGTGACAAGTAGTAAAATGTTAATTATTTGTTGACTCTTGTGCCACAGCGTTGACAACAGTGAATATATGAGAAATGGAGACTACGTTCCCACTCGCCTGCAGGCCCAGCAGGATGCCGTCAACACCATCTGTCGCTTTAAGTTGCGTTCTAACCCAGAAAATAACGTTGGCCTCTTAACCTTGGCAAAGTAAGTATTTTAAATGTTAATCTAATGTACTGTGCTGTAATTATGAATGGAGAGAACAGTTTGATTACATGCTGACAGTGGCTGGTAGTGAAAGTCTGTGATATGATAGTGGCCAGGATACAGTAGTTTTTTATTGTAATTTAGTGAATTTGAGAGATGGAGGAGAGGAAAAAATATTAAAGGAAGTTTAAACTGATATTGTACAATGTAAACTATAAATGTTTAAGGTTCTGTTGGTTTGTCTTATCCTCTAGCATTATTTAAGTTTATAGTTAGGCTCCATTATCTTCTGACTAATTTGGCAAGTCTTATGACGTTGAGTATATAAATTTGTTTTTAATTATTAACCCTACAGGTACATAATTGTCTTATTTAATGTGTTGCTAGTGTGTAATAAAATGGATGAGGTAATGGCTACATATGAGCTGAGTGATACAGCAGTTCATGCCAAGTTGACCAATTTTTACAGTACGGAAGTATTGGCAACATTGACTACTGATGTTGGGAAAATTTTGACTCCGCTCCACAAAGTCTTACCAAATGGGAACATTAATCTTCTTACTGGTATTCGCATTGCTCATGTAAGTTACCTTTTTTAGTTGATAGTAAATTTTTCATATTGTAGAAAAGTTATTAGTAATGTGTGTAATATTGTTGAAGCCAATGTAATACATATATTGTATATAGTCTTTGTATTCATGTAAGGAGAATGGACAGGCTAGAAATAATTAAATTGTTATTGTTTTGTTTACCTACAGTTGGCTCTGAAACATCGGCAGAGCAAGAACCATAAGATGCGCATTGTTGCCTTTGTAGGTAGTCCTGTGGAAGTGGAGGAGAAGGAGATTGTCAAAGTGGCCAAGCGCCTGAAGAAGGAGAAAGTCAACATTGATATAATCAACTTTGGTGAGACTGTAAGTAGTTGTGGAACTATTTAGGTTGCCCTCGAGTAGTGGTTATGAGAGCTGTAATACATGGCCAGCTTTATATTCAACTGAAATTAATTTCCTAAAAAGATTAAGGTTGAATTAAGGGCGTGATGAATTAAGTATGTGGAACATCACTATTTTAACAAAATATGGAGCTCATATATAATGAACCACATGATACGAGCAGACGACACCAGCAGTTATGATGCAAGATAATGCCTCCAATATTCTACATATTTTGCTATGACCCGCTACAAAACTACTGTTCTTACACATTCCTACATATCACAAAAATACTGAATGAGTCCATTTCCACAAGGTTATATTGTGAAGGAACATGAGGTCGAATGTACTACTGCATAGATGCAGGAAACAATGGCTGGGTGCTCTGTGCATCTACCTCATGCTGTGAATATCATAACTTTGTATTCGCTGATATCTTAATGTTGTACATAGTGTTTATCACAGTCGGGATCATTTGTGACACTATCAATGCAAAATATTTCTGTTTTATTCATTAAGTGGTGCTGTGGCCCCCTAGCTGCACAGTGGTGCTGTGAGGCGCTGCTTCATGTGCCAGCCTTGGTCACACTCTCAGTACTGAGGCTTGTACAGATGCTGAAGATTTGTTTCAAGATGGAGTACAGTATGTTTACTAGAGACCAGAGGCACAGGATGCGAGTCCTGTGTACCCGCGGGTGATTTGAATCTCTCCCTATACCTAAAAGCTTCATATAGGGCTCTGCACACCACCTGATCGGGTGCCTTAAAGTGCAGTGATGTGGTTAAGCAACTAATTAGCCTGAATCGTCAAGTATTGTAGCCCAATTTACCAGTATCTTGGTGAATTTCTCTGACTAGAACCTACCAAGCGAACATAAGTGGCCTTTGTTTAGATGTTCTAATGTTTATTATGGACTAGGATAAGGGTGGTGGATACAAAGGCACAATATGTAGTCTTGCAAAACTAGATTTTTCAAGTATAGTTATGTAGCCATACGATTCACACGTGTATAATGTTAGGAAAGTTGTATGGGCACATGAAGTGTTAGGAGATGGCAGTATAAGTAGTAAGCTTTTTATTAAAGCCGTTTCTTTATATCGTAATTTAAAATACTGTATCTATGTTTTCCATTTTGATAAAATGGTGATATAGCTTACACTCCTGCAGGATTGTAACCAATCATTGCTGGAAGCCATGGTTAGTACAATTAATGGTCGTGAAGGAGGGAGTTCTCACCTTGTCACTGTGCCACCATCGCCACATCTAGCCGATGCTCTTTTGTCGTCTCCCATTGTGCAGGCAAGTACTTATTAGAACTATTATTTCCACATACTGTATATAAATTGTTCATACCTCCGACCCTTGTAAGTAGGGCATTTTCTACCTGAAGCCTAAGCTCCCAAAATGTTAATTTATTGCATTTAATTTGAATTAGATATTTCATCATTTTTGCTACGGCCATATGTATTTTGTGTGTGTTTTTGTCATATCCCAAAAAATTCTTTCCACGATGGGGGTTGTAATTTGAAGTGCCTTGATCAAGGCAGCCCTGTCTGCTAGTGCTATTGCAGCTGGATTGTTTCAATAGAACACTTCACATCTGTAATTGTCTACTCTCCTTTCAGGAAAGAGTTCTTCACTATTTCATCAGGGTTTATTTCATGCAGTTTCTTTCTAATATTAAATTGGGTTTAGCCTATCCAGATATCTTCTATCGTACATTAGTCAGAATTGTGGTTACTCAAAATGTAAATTTCTAGTACTTGTAAGATAATTACATCAAATGATGTGAATATTGTAACATTATTAGACCTTGAAATACTTTTTCAATAAAAATTAGTTTCTTGAAATTTTTTGCATTCTACTTTGGCCATATTTTCTGATGGTTACTACACTATGAACAAAAATATAGTACCACCACCTGTCTGTGTAAATCCTGCAGATCAGGCTGCTGTCTTTAGCTAAATTGAGAGCCAGCTTGCATTACAAAATAGTAGTTTGTCATATTCCTATGTCCAAAGTAATTGAAAAAGAGCATCAAAATGTTTACCATTAATTCTTTATATTTTACCAGGGTGAAGATGGAGGACCTGCTGCCAGCTTTGCTACTGGTGGAGGCTTTGAATTTGGTGTCGATCCTAATGAAGATCCGGAGCTAGCACTGGTTAGTGTACTTTTGTCATAATTATTCCATTTTGAACTTGCATGGGGTGGGTAGAGAGGAATACAATTTTCTGAAGAAATGGGGGGGGGGGGGGGGGGAGGAAGAGTTCAGCTCCCAGAATTGCATGTGCTTTGGAGACGTGTAAATCTTTGGTAGAGGTAACACTATACAGTAGTATCCTTGATTTAAATTTTGTGAAGTATACCAATTGAAGTATGTAATCACTTAACCTGCATTACTTGAATGCAAATTTGTCCCTAAACTTATTAATACATTATATTGCACTTCATTAAGCACTTTTGTTTTCAGGCTCTACGTGTGTCTATGGAAGAGCAACGGCAACGACAGCAGGAAGAGGAGCGACGTGTAGCTCAAGAATCTACCACGACTGTCACACCCATGGAAACAACACCCAAGCCACCGACGACAACCCCTACTCCCCAGACCACAGCACCAACTGAAGGTGAGGGCCTCGTGTAACTGGTTGATACCTGGTTGATCTTTACAGTTAGTGTGTACTTCTTAGAGAAGCAACAGTCTCTTATCTCTACTTTCCTCTTCATGTCTTATAAATAATTCCCATGCTCATTGAGAAACCGCACTACGGAAAAATGTATTTTTAAAACTTTAAAAAGGATTCACAATTTATAAATGCAGTATGTGATGTGATTGATATTAATATTAAGAGAAACTTTTATTTGCAGAAAACATTTTGGTTAAGTTTCTTTTACTTAATGCATTTTATGGTAACACTCCATGTATCTGGACTCTGTATTTGGAACTCTCGCTATACTTGACTTGTCAGTATCTTGTGGCTTCTGTAAATTTACAAAACCTATTGGAGGTAGTTTCACAATGCAGCAACCAAATGGACTTTATTGAAATATTTTCAATTCTCAGTTAGCATCCATTGATGGATTCTATTCATGTTTTCCCAGAATATTGTACATCGAGATTATTGCTTCTTGTTAATAGAAGTTAACTGTAATGGATTGTTTTATAAACAAAAAAACATTGACACCAGATGTTATAAATTATACTGCAATTGTTAATTTGCATTGTATTTGATTAAATGTAACTCTCACAAATACAGAGTTGGCTGTACTGTACTGTCACCCAAGCCTAGAGAATCTAAAATTATTAAAATTTAAAAAATTACTGTTATAAATAATGTTTTTTACTTGTCCTTGCATTTTGTTGTGGTATTGGCAGGAGGTAAAAGTAACCGTTATGGGCTATGATGAATATACAGTACTAAACTCTTGTGCATCTTAAATATCTAGACTGGCCTCCATCCTGTGTTAAGGATACAGGGAAGTTTACTGTATGAAAAGAAGCATACTCAATAATACAATAAAACTCGAGTAGTATATCATGTACAGCAATTATCATCCTGTCAATTTTGAGTATTAACACTTCAAGCAAGCATGGCATTGTTTACTTATGCTCTGATTATTTTTACATGTATAAGACCAGAATTCCCAAATAAGTACAGTTTATACCCGAGTATGGTATTTCAACAATGACATTAAACCATATGCCTTTTCTTTGTTTGTTAACTTTATATGTATTGGAGTCTTGTGTTAATAAAATACAATTGCAATCATTAAAATCTAAATGCTGCTTGCTCACTATTAGTTAGGTCAGAGTATGATGGAAACTTGTCTCCTTACAGCTGGTGGTCAGTCTGAAGAAGAAATGCTGCAGCAGGCTCTAGCCATGTCTCTGGAGGCAGGGGCCGTGTCACAGAGTGCCGCTGCCAACACTGGCACATCTGCTGGAAGTACGCCTGCTGTCGGTGGTTCAGCAAGTAGTGCTGGCAAGGGGAGTATCTCGGGCAGTAGCTTATCATCTGCCACCATCCCCGATTTCTCTGCTATGACTGAGGAAGAACAGATAGCATATGCCATGCAAATTTCCATGCAAGACTGCAGTAAGTTGCATACAGATCTACAGTATATAGATATATACATATTCATATTCATGCATCCAAACACAGTGTAGTATACACATACATTTACTATTTGCAAACATACAGTACATGCATAGGTGCACATTATTCACATGCCTACAGCACTCGTTACATGATTTGATTCCATGGCTTGACCCCAAAACTACATTTAATCATCATAATGTACTGTGCTGGGATGAAGCAAGCGATATAAACTTATTTAAGCTTGAAAGAAACAATGTTGGAACCCAATAGGTTTCGAAGAGGTTAGTGAAAGTATTTTGTAATTACTGGAGGTGTCGGCTGTTGAACTCCACTAAACACAATTCGGTGTTTTAGAATAAGAAACTTGTAAACAATGTGCACTAAGTAGTAATTGTGTATCCAAGCCCCTATATGCTACATTTCTTGCCATTTTGCCAACTCTTTGAATTACATTCTTGAATCCTTGCACCTCCAAAATATTCTGGGTTATATTTTGTACTGGAAAGTGGAAGGGATGTTATATATTAATGTTCCATTAGGCTAGCGTTTCTCAACCATTTTACCATTGAAATAATTCCTGTTTGTTTTAGATAAACACGCATGGATTTCAGTGTCAGCTGAAAGGAGACTATTTCTGTCCTTGTTCTTGATACTAGTTAAATGAGAAACACTAAACACAATGACACTAAAATGCATTTGCAGTTGATTAGAATTATCCTATATATCACCATCTCTTGTGGAAACCCTAGTTACCTTGGGGTTCCATGGCACCCTGGCTGAGAAACGCTGCTCTGGTCATTTGGGGGGAGAAAAATTGACTTTGTCCCCTGTTTTTTCCCATACACTATTTAGTCTATTGTACCATGAAATTTGATTGTCACAGGCCTGGCCTTTCACAAGATTATCGTGACTGCTCCCCCTCATCCAAATAGAGGGCTGCCCCATGTTGAAGTTTATAGTTACATTAAACTTGCAACACGAATCTGTTAAGCAAGTGACATCTGTTTGGCTCTCTCATTAAAGCCTTTTCTTATGGCTGCTCTGCAAAATAAGTACAACAGTGAAAATGCACTGCTAAAATTTATTAAAATGTTCCCGAAATTAATGCTGATACTTGTATTAATTATTACAGAGCCAAAGGAGGAAGCGATGGATGTGGACCCCCCTGCTTCAGCTGCTAAGCCATCAGAAAGCTTGAAGGTTTTTCATGATTTGTTTTTAAGTATCTTCTAAATACATTCATCAGTACACACAGCTTTGCTATGACATTAAATTAGCAATTTTTATTTTTGCTTAACTATTTTTAATAACATTTCTAATATTACTGACAATTACGTCATTACGAGGGTAATGACAGTACTTTCACTATGCTCGTATTTGCCATTCAGTGTACAATAAAATTAAAAAAAAAAAAAAATCCATCACCAATTCTTGTGTTGTAGTAGAAACTGGCCCCCGAGTAATTAAATATCTTCATGTGTTTCCATTGCATAGAATATTGTATACAGCCAATACTTGGCAACATTTTTCATACATTTGCTACAAATTGGCAATTCCCCCTTCCCAGCTAGGTGCATACTTTTGATAATTGCTTGCTTGCTTCCTCCCCCCCCCCTCCTATCCTCCATCCCCTTCATTTTTTTCAATGGTTTCTTACCATTCTAATAATACCTTTTCATATTTACCGTTAATTATTTTAGCATTATTATATGTAACACTTTATGCATTTCATGGCTTATAGCAGGAATACCCTAGGGGTGGGGCATGTGGGATGCATTTCGGTAAATCAGATGCTTACTTATCTGTAACTTTGGTGCAAGATGTAACTTATTATGCCCCACCACCTACCCTTTAGTACTTGTCATGCTAATTACAGCCCATCTTGTCATAATCTTGAAGTTGAGTGAGTACCTGTTGGTTTAAGGTTAGCTTGTTACCGGCTTATGGTTGTATGTACCCGACTGTAGCACCAATTTTGAAAGGGTATAAAAAATTTGCTGTCATCATTTTTGTTTCATACTGCTTTATTCCTTCTATGATGTACGGTTAAAGTATCTCCAAGTGTTGGCTTTTAAGGTACACCCAATATAAGCTGGTTGATGCAAGTTGGGCAGTTGTTACTTGCTAGGATCGAGTAACAAGGATTTGTGATGGTTGGTTATTTCTTTGTATTTTTTTTTGACAGGCAAAAAAGGAAGAGGAGGAACAAGATTTCTCAAGGGTAATGGCAGATCCAGCTTTCCTGGAGAGTGTGTTGCAGAACCTGCCAGGGGTGGATCCCCAGAGCCAGGTGGTGAAGGAGGCTGTTGGTTCACTCACTCAACAGGATAAGGATAAAGATAAGGATAAAGATAAGAAAAAAGATGAAAAAAAGTAAGATATAATGTTATAGGCACAGAAATAAAGCTATTTCCATTTCCCTTTGTGTAGCTTCTGCAGAGCTGAACCATCATCTTTGGGTACAATGTGTCGGTAAGGATCATTTTGTCAGGAGGAACTGGATGTAATCTGCTTATATTACAGATACACAAAGGCTTTCAAGGTGTATATGTACGATTAGTTCTTCCCAGATGAGCAGTCAACGTGCAGTAAAGCTTCAATTTTTTAATTTAACAGTATATGATATCACTAATATTTATACATTAACTTCAAAATTGTAATTTTCACATCAGTAAATATAGGCAACTGAAAACTGTTTGTAATTATTCATATACGCAGGTACAGTATTAGTCTTTTTGGAAATTTGGGCTACTTCAGTCATTCCTGAAGTTTATGTATTATAGATATTTTCCATTTGTAAGGATTATAATTTTTTTTATTTATTTGCTTATATGAATTACTGGCAAAATGTTTAAGAATAAATCTTGTATAAGACAGATGTGTATATTGTTTCCTTATTTTATATTTCATATCCCTAAGAAATGTGACAATTTCAATCGATTTAAATCTGGGTGAACACTCTTATAACTAAAATTTGTTTGTTGCAGGATGTCATCATTTAGGTATATTAAAATGTAATGGGAGGTACTTAATATTTTTTTAATTGTATCTTGAAAACACTATATGTAAGCTTTAGAACATGGTAAATTTTTATGCTGTAGTGTAAATAGAATGAAGTATTTTTCTGAAGGAATGACTCCTGTACTGAATTTCCTCAGGCTGTTAACTAAAATGGGCCAAGTGTCTTAAACCTATGCAGTACTATACAGTACTTCAAGACAGGAACATTCCAATAAATTAATTGCCAAATTGTAATTAATAATTTAAGACTCGAGGAGTGGGACTTAAATTTTGTACCTGTTGGTGCATAGTGTTAAAAAGGTTATAACATATCAAAGTATGCAAATAATGAGGTGCTGTCATAAATTATTTAATTGTGCAGTTTTTATTTTTTCTTTGTTTTTGTCTAGGACAAGAAGCCTGTTTATATACTGTATACTTTGGGCTTGTATTGAGGTCCCCCAAGGTGGAACTGTCCTTCCCAGGATGCAACCCCACAACGGTTTTCCAACTCCTGGGTACCTATTTACTGCTAGGTGAAAGGAAACTTGCCCAGCTATTTCTGTTCCACATGGAATCTCCAAATTGGTGCGGTGTTGCGAGGATTAACACTAAAACGACAATGTCACAAAAATATTTAGTACAAACAAAAGTAAATTGTAGATTTGGTCATATTAAAAAAATGAATTATGAGAGTGATTAGGTAAATTTTAATATTTTTTCCCCTTTTAGTGACATTGAAGGAAGGTAGAATGACTTGAGTAGTATTTAATGGGAGGATCTTTGACAAGCAACTGAATGTCACTGTCCTGGCTACTAAAGATGGTGGCCCTCGGGTAAGATGTCATGAAGTTGGATGTTGATATGTGAAGTTATGTGCTGCTGCCGTGTGTAGTTTAGGAGATACGACTAGTGAATTGCATGTGTGTTTTGTTTATGCAAGATTGCCTTTGTCTTTAAAATCAAATCAAATACTGTACTCTTAATAAAATGGTAGAACATTTATTATCGAGTCTGCATATTATTATGCAGACGATGAGTATAATTGAGAGGTTTACATAAGTACAGTAGATTAATTATATAATTCAGAATCACACTTAATAACCAGAACTTCTTGGCCTAGAATGCAAGATCCGATGTGCTTAACAGGCAGAATGAATTTTATTTTCAAATTTCTATACAGAATTTTTTTTCCAACAATACAAATATTATATTAGGAAAATGAATCATTGACTTGGTTACATTAGGTTTGAATAGGTTAGGTTTGATCAAATTTGTATGTTAGTTTTGACTCGGATAACATACAATTGCAATCCTATATAATACAATGAAAGCTTTATCCTTTCATAGGAAAACAAATAAAGAAAAATTAAATATAAAACAAAAATTTGGCATGTTAGGCAACTTTGGCTATTTGGTACATTATACAATGTGTGTACTCACGTAGTTGTGCTTGCGGAGGTTGAGCTTTGGCTCTTTGGTCCTGCCTCTCGACCGTCAATCAACTGATGTGCAGATTCCTGAGCCTACTGGGCTCTTTCATATCTACATTTGAAACCATGTATGGAGTCAGCCTCCATCACATCACTGCCTAATGCATTCCATTTGTTAACTACTGACACTGAAAAAGTTCTCTAACGTCCCTGTGGCTCATTTGGGTACTCGGTCTCCACCTGTGTTCCCTTGTTCGCGTACCCCTCGTGTTACAGTTTATCTTTATCTACCGTATCAATACCTTTTGAGAATTTTGTAGGTAGTGATCATGTCTCCCCTTACTCTTCTGTCTTCTAGAGTCACGAGGTGCATTTCTCGCAGCCTTTCCTCGTAACTCATGCCTCTTAGTTCTGGGACTAGCCTAGTGGCAGACCTCTGAACTTTTTCCAGCTTTCTTATGCTTGACAAGATATAGGCTCCATGCTGGGGCTGCATACTTCAGAATTGGTCTTAGAGATGTGGTGTACAAGGTTCTGAATGATTCCTTTTACAGGTTCCTGAAGGCAGTTCTGAGGTGGCATATGCCGCCGATGTTATTCTTGTTATGTGGGCTTCAGGAGACAGGTTTGATGTGGTATCAACTCCTAGATATTTTTCTCTGTCCGTTTTATGAAGGACTTCTTCTCCCGTTTGATATCTTGTGTCTGGCCTCCTGTTTCCACCGCCTAGCTTCATTACCTTACATTTACTCGGGTTGAACTTTTGTAGCCATTTGTTGGACCATTTATTCAGTTTGTCTAGGTCATCTTGTAGCCTCATAACATCTTCCTCTGTCTTAATCCTCCTCATAATCTTTGCATCATCAGCAAACAATGAGAGGAACGATTCTATACCCTCTGGGAGATCATTTACATACACTATATCAGAAACAGTATAGGTCCAATGACTGAACCCTGCGGGACTCCACTGGTGACGCCTCGCCAATCTGAGACCTCAACCCTCAGTGTGTGTTTGTATGTATGTATATTGTTACGGTAATCTGTTTAAGCAGAAGATTCTGCCTGTTCCCTTTACAGCTACACCACCTATTCACCAACGTATCTGCATGCTCCAACATGAGGAATCAACATCAACAACAACAACAATACGTGCAGACACCTCCGTGTCTAGACAGATACCCCCCCCCCACCCTCTAGTACCCGAAACACCTGAACACCTGCTGCCTGGGGCCAACTCCACTCGCCGGTCGACCAGCCACTAACTGCTTGTTTAAGACTGCCGGCGATAGTTATCTGCAACATCAGCGCCATCTACACTAGGCCTGCCCACATATATAAGCAGCTCACTGACGGCCAGTCCACACGGGAGACATCTCCCGTCACGCAGGGTGCAGTCGCACCTCCACAGATCTCCAGTATCCTGGAGATCTGTGGATACATTACCAGTATCAATACTGGAGATGCCCATCTTGTGGGCGGTAGTGGAAAGGGTTACAGAGGCACATAATGGGTTCAAGGACTGAGCCCAACAATTCATTTAGCTAAGCAAGTTACTTTCTTGATGAGCTAGTTACAAAATTCAATATAAGTCGTCACATCAACAATGGGTTCGAGATCATCCACAAGTACAGTTTCTAAATGAAGCAACTGACGTATGTGGAGAGATAGTGTCACAATTGATATGTTTGTCCTGCACACCGCCCCCCATCCAGTGGCATCCTGGGGAGGGTCAGTAATTCGATCCTGGGGGGGGGGGACCGCGGTATAAGCCTAACATATACTGTATGTATAACCTGGCTTCCTGTCCCCCGACACAATGAATTATTATTAATTATAAGATGATCAAGAAGATGAAGAAGTTGTAGTAGTAAAGTGAATAAAGTCAGTTATAGGGGCTTAGAAACGTGAGTGTTCATGACGACAGATTAGCTTCAAGGAGAAAAGCCTCACTGCCGGTTAGGGAACCTACCAATTTACCCAACAAGCTATTATATAAAAATCTCATGGAATTAAGACAGTTATCCTTAAGAATCCATTTTTTTTGTTTAGCTTGTGCCAGCGACGCCGTCAGCGCCAGCTGTGGGCGGGACCCGCGCCGCCATCAGCGCCATCTGCAGGCATCACCAGCGCCGCTCAGTACTAGTCAAGGAGTTTACTCTCCTACTAGTAAACTAGCCTCGGCGGATTCAAAACAAAACTAGTTGTCAACAATGGCCTGTGAGCGGGTGTGTGGAGCGCAGATGTGTCCTCCTCGTTAGCCAGGACTGACGCTCCTCTGGCCTGGCGTGGTGTCAGCCAGTGCGGGTGTCAGTGTCAGCTCCTCACCCGTTAGCGGCCAGAGAGAAATTGGCAGTGTAAACTCCGTTATTTGAGGCAGTGACAGCGGGGAATAGGACTAGCAGTGGGACCAAGAGTGTAAACCCTCCCCCCAAGTGCAGACAGTGATTTGTAAACCATAATAAATTGAGTGTAAACGGAACTATTTGAGGTAGTGCTATTGAGGGATGGTAACAGTGGGCCCAAGAGGTGTAAACTGCCGTGAGAGGTAAACCAGAATAAGTTGGCAGTGTGAACTTGTTAGTAGTGATATGGAGGAGCGCTAGCAGGAGGGCCAGGACGTGTCCGTGGCTGCCAAGGTGAGTACTCTTACAGTAGTTTGTGTTTGTCCTACACACTTCTGGAGCTGGATTTTGATGACTTTCCATCCTTAGTAACAGGTGTCACCCCCCCAGTAACAGGTGTCACACACCCCAGTAACAGGTGTCACACACCCCCAGTAACAGGTGTCACCCCCCCCACCCTAGTAACAAGTGTCAGGTTGAAATCATTACAGAAGAATCTGACGAATGACTGCTGTATTTTCTTAGTTGCGTTACAAGCTTAATGTCGTGATCAGTCATGAGGTTTAAAGCCATGTCATGGAGCGGAGCGGACAGTAAGATTTTGTTAAGGTACAGGTATCGGTCATCTTTGAACTAAACTGATTGTGCAATATGATAGATGTGTTGTGATAGTGGGGGGGTTATTAAAGCTGTACCTTTATATTTTTTATATTTCTCATTAAGATCCATATATATCTGAGCCATTTGGACAAATGAATGTTTTAGGTCTGGATAGAGACCGGGTTGCAGGGACATTGATCCTTGGAATGAAATGAAAACCTGTAATGCCAAGGTTAGGTAAACTAGTATTTATTGACGTGCATAGTAAAATATAGTAAAATATAATGCAATTTTTTTTAAAATACTGTACGATAATACTGATTTTTTTTTTACAGTAATATTTTTTAAGACAGACTAAATCATTAACTAACAAAATTACTTGCAGGCCTAATGTAATTTTGTTAATGTTGTACCAAGGAATGTATACTTCTTTTTGCAAATGTAATACAGAATTTCTTTAATATTGTTTTGGTATATTTTTTTTTTTTTTATGAACAAT